AGTTTGAGGAACTAGATGAGTTATGGAAAATTCTAATTTGTTTACATCTTGTAGATGGTACTTTGGTTAAAGTTATAAACCACAGACACACATGGCTTATGCAGGACCATTTTTTCTGTTCCTGATCTGTCGCCCTTCATTGTGTGAAGCTGGACGGGTTCATGTGTTTACTTCACAGCTCCTAAAGTTGAAGATGCTGTATATTTAAAGATATAAATGTTTAATTAAAAAATTATTAGCTTTTATCCTTGTAACATACTTAGGCTTGGAGTAGAAAGGTACTGTAGTACAGTGTTAGGAGTCTAATGGCAAAGAAGCCCCCGGATAATGACTGGACGTCATTTCCATGAAGAGGATTACTGCTGGCCTATACTGCCAGCTTAAGCAAACTGGAAAAAGATGTGTCCTCTGAGATGCAACCCCATCTTTAGCAGGCTGAGCACAGACTAGATTTCAGCCCCTGATTCACCCTCCTTCCTCTCTCAACTGGGTGCCTTTGTGTAGTACATAAACTCTCTAATAACACATGGTAGCCCTTCCTTTATATAAACGTATATATTTAAAAAATATACATCAGGGATAAAACGCTACCGGTAGTCTTATTTAAAAAAATATCATTTAATATTTTCACCTATGAGAGGTAATGAATGCTGAAATATAGTCTCCATTATAGCAGGCTGGAAAAAATACATTATCCTACTGTTTTCTAGAAAAATGATTATGGCATTGGCAAATCAAATGGAAAAAGTGAATAAGCAGACTGAGATTATCTGAAAATGTTCGTTGCTTATAAGATTCAGTACAATGTATATGTTTATTAAATAATCACTACTAGAACAAACATCTGCAACAACTATGAAGTTAGGAAATGCTATATTAGCGTGAACAGTTTATCTGTTGATCACATTGATAAGCGACTCAGAAATATTAAAAGTATGGAAATGCATGATGGTGAACAACAATGCCCCATCAGTACATTAAGCAAAAATAGATAATGGCCTCTATATCTCGGAACAGACTCACTTACTTATTAGTATGAATAATTTAGCTCTAAAAAGAAAAACCCAAAAGCAGCTTGGACTGACTGTGGAAAGAACTTTGAATTTTTCCTTTTAGAAAGTTAAAAAAAAAAAAAGTATACATGACTTCCACAGTGTGACAACTACCAAGTGGCACATTTTATATGATATGAGAAAAAATGGTCAAAAGATCTCAACTTTCTGGAAGTCAACTCAAAAGCGAAGGGCAACTAGCATTTTTGGATTTTATAGTATAGAATGAAATTCCCTTTATATTGAATACTAAATCATGGACCTTGCTCATAGTAATTTTTCTCAAAGGTTTAGGCACTTTGCAATAGGCTACTGCCAATATAGAAAAACTGATATGAAAAAATAATTCAGTAAATATTAAATACAAATCATGTGATTACATTCAACAAAAACATGAGATGTCTCAAATATGTAACAAATTTTCATTCTGACAAATACACACTAGAATCACCTTGCAGAGAAGTGCAGTTGGGCAGTACCACTGTACTGTACCATTGTGCCATTGCAGGGGAGGCAAACTCCCAAGCCACAGAGTAAACATTTTAGACTTTGCAGGCAACATAGAGCTTCTGTTGCATATTCTTCTTTCTCTGTTTGTTTAAACATTTTTAAAATGTAAAAACTGGCTGGGCATGGTGGCTCACGCCTGTAATCCCAGCACTTTGGGAGGCCAAGGTGGGCAGATCACTTGTCAGGGGTTCAAGACCAGCTTGGCATGGTGGCATGTGCTTGTAGTCTCAGCTACTTGGGAGGCTGAGGCAGGAGAATCACTTGAACCTGGGAGGGGGAGGTTGTGAGATCCTGCCACTGCACTCCAGCCAGGGCAACAACAGAGACACTGTCTCAAAAAAATAAATAAAATAAAATAATAAAAAATAGAATAGAATAAAATAAAATATAAAAACCATTCTTAGCTTGCAGATCATCTACCTGCAGCCTGGATTTGGCCCATGGGTTACAGTTTACCAATCCCTGATCTAGAGCCTTGTGATATTATGGCACATTTTTATCATTCACTTTTAGGCACAGATGATCTCTGAATGAATACTTACAGGGAACCATATGTATATGCTTAAAGATTTCTCTAATAAATACGGTTGCTGCAATTTTACAGTTAATTCTGCAAACTCCATTTAAAAGTGATGATCTACAGATATGGCATTGCCAGAAGTTTCAGAAGCTTATGACAATTTTGTGAATATTTAAGTTACCAATGATTAAATTCAGTTCAAGTATCAGCACTATGTTCTTTAAAGCAATGAAGCAGGTCTTGTAAGGGCTGGAAAGGAACTGTATGCAGAGCACAGTGAACTGTGGTTGGTGCTATACTGACTGGCAGCCGCTGAGCTAAACAGAGTGGGGGAATTTTAGGTTACTTTGCAGCCTGTAACTGAATTTCTTGATTTGGATTTTAAGATTTTCTATTAAAAAAAATTATTGTGGCCGGGCGCGGTGGCTCATGCCTATAATCCCAGCACTTTGGGAGGCCGAGGCAGGTGGATCATAAGGTCAGGAGTTCAAGATCAGCCTGAACAACATGCTGAAACCCTGTCCCCCCGCCAAAAAAAAAAAAATATTGTGACCAATCTTCTACACTAGCTGCCTTTAAAAACAGGTAGTAATTAGCTGAATTTAATGATAAAATGAAGACCTTGAGAAATAATACTCTTTAAAGTACATGAAAATAGGCAGTCAGACTGTGCCTTGTTGAAACTTGTTGTCCCTTACAGTTTTCCACTTTTCTTTTAACAGTGTCAAGGTTTCATACCCAAGGCAAAGGTTTACTGTCCAAAGTCAGAATTTTATCTTCAGTTTGAATTTCAAGTGAAGAAGTGTCCATATCTGGGTATATGAAGCTGACTGGGCTGGTAATTTTGGAGAAATGCTGAAGTCCAGTGGAATGCTGCCAAGAACCTCAACTACACTGGCGGCTCCCTCATGCAACAATTACATAGTTAGATATTTTAACAAATATTTCCTTATTCTTATTTATTTTGAGACAGGGTCTCACTCTGTTGCCCAGGCTGGTTGGAATGCAGTAGTTAAAAGACAGTATTGAAAATTTCTAAGCCAGGCGTGGTGACTCATACCTGTAATCCCAGCACTTTGGGAAGCAGGGCGGGCCGATCACAAGGTCAGGAGTTCGAGACCAGCCTGACCAACATAGTGAAACCCTGTTTCTACTAAAAATACAAAAAAATTAGCTGGGTGTGGTGGTGCACACCTGTAATCCCAGCTACTCAGGAAGCTGAGGCAGGGGAATTACGTACTTGAATCCAGGAGGCGGAGGTTGCAGTGAGCTGAGATTGTGCCACTGCACTTCAGCCTGGTCAACAGAATGAGATTCCATCTCAGAAAAAAAAAAAGAAAAGAAAAAGAAAATTTCTAGTCAGCTGGATCAAGATGACATTCCTTTTTTTTTTTCTCATTTTGCAGCTCCTTCCGTAAAGGGGTTTAACTACTTTAAATCAAATTTTAGTCCTTATTTTTAAATAGTTAAAACATAATTCACTATAATTGCAGACAATATAAAACAAGACAACGTGATCAAACTAATTATAACACTGATAGGATGCAAAATGGAAGACAGAGGTAGATCTGCAAACAGTCACACAGGTGGAAATTCCAATTAGAAATGCTTCTCTTTGAAATGTCAGTTTTACATAAATGTTTATCCAGCAGCACATCATAAACCACAGGGCCAAAACAATTTGTTGTCACATAAATATGGAATTGGTAGCTAAAACTCAAATTTAACCGGAAATAATTGTTTTCGTGGGACTCATAAGACAAGCTTAAATTGTTAGACGCTTTTAGGGCATTGGCTAATTTGGAATTGGCTAGTATTATAACTTAATTTTTGCAGGCATTTAAAGATTTTCATGCATTATGTATTTGAAGTTTTTGTTTCTTAATTTTCTTTGAACCACACCTCTTCTCCTTATTATTAAGAAAAACTCTCTTAGGGTAAGGGAAGACCAAATTAACTGTCCTGAAATTTTGCATTATGTTTAAAGCATAATATTTGATTTACTTTTGTCAAACAAATACTACTATTAGGGTTTTCATTTGTAGATTATTAAAAAAATGTTTTTCCTGTTAATTATAAATGTATTTACTATCACAAGGATTAAAAAGATCAATTCAGGTGGTAGGGATGTTTCACAAAACATCACAGTGGGGAAGGGGGGGGTAGAGTGACCAATCAGCTTAACTTCCTTTCACCTAGCTGTTCCTTAAAAAAACAAAAATAAAAGCCAAATTGCTTACAGTTTTTCAGAGTGAAAATGGAGGCATAAGGATATCCAAGTGCAAGCACATTGCTTCTTTCACATCCTCATAAAGTATTTATTTATTTATTTATTTATTTATTTATTTATTTATTTATTTTTTTGAGATGGAGTCTTGCTCTGTCACCCAGACTGGAGTGCAGTGGTATGATCTCGGCTCATTGCAACCTCTGCCTCCTGGGCTCAAGCAGTTCTGCCACAGCCTCCCGAGTAGCTGGGACTACAGGCGTGCATCACTATGCCCGGCTAATTTTTGTATTTTTAGTAGAGACGGAGTTTCACTGTGTTGGCCAGGCTGGTCTCAAACTCTTGACCTCAAGTGATCCACCCACCTTGGCCTCCCACAGTGCTAGGATTATAGGCGTGAGCCACTGTGCCCAGCCTTACAAAGTATTTTCTAAAATATAATTTACTGTAGGGTTCACAGATGAGCACTTTTCACATTAGATGATATGCAAACAAATCATTATTTGCTCAGCAGGAAACAGATTTTTTTGTACACTCCAGTTAACATGAAGTTTTCCACTAAAACAGTGGAAATCCAACCCTGTAATGTCCACCTAGAATCCAATAAGGAAAAAATAAAGCCATTGAAATGAAGATAATTTAGCAATATCCTATAGGTCACCAGTGATTTCCATAAAATACTGCACAGATACAAAGTCTTGAGTGTTTTACTTAGTTGCTAAAACGAGGCACAGCTGACTTGAAAATTAAGGAGCCTGGCTTCCCTTTCTGCTTTCCATTCTCCCAACAGAAACAAGGGTTTTCAAAGAATTGGCCACAGTCTTACAGGTCACCTTAGGGTGTAGATGACTCTCCACTGAGGTGCTGGACAATTTTATTGAACAGGTGGCCACTGGTGGTGGTGAAGAAATCACTGATTAAACAAATTACTCTAAATGGCCTCAGTATCAAGGTGTGCTCTCTGTACCCTTAATTTGACTTTAATCCTGCAGAAACTCAGTTTTACCATGTTTAACAGCATTGCCATGTAGGATATACCTTTATCCTACACTGTATATATATATTATTTATGCTGAAGAATATCTAACTGAAAAGTATAAAAAGATAAGTTAAAAAAATGAATTAAAAAATGTATCATGGCTGATAGCCCAGGTAACTGCAGGTGAAATGTAGCCAGAAGTCAGAATCTTGGGGCAAAATCAAGTACAGTCTTATGGGCTGTACCTTCGAATGGTTTAGTTTTATACCCTCTTAAGGCAAAACCAAAGTTCTCTTAATGTTTTGGAAAGTGTTTTTCTTCCTGGAGGATCATAAAAGTAGGCGGAAGAATCAGTCTACTGGCTTGTTGGTATGCTAAGGGAAGGATGCCAACTTGACATCCTTGGATACTTGGTTAATAAAACTGAGGCTAGTAGGTGAAGACAAACAACAGAATAGTTTTTGGTTTTAAATTTGTATGAAGGCTACTTAGTACTGGAACAAATGACAAAAGTGTTTTACCATCTTTACATATGAAAAAATGATTTTCCTTTTAAACTGTAGCTCAGGATTTAATCTTGAGTCATGTCACCATGTGGTAAAAACAATCTGGATTTTACAATAATTTACAAAAAGCAAAAAAAGTCATAAAAATGCTAAATGATGCAGAGCTACAAATATGATGATACATAAGCAGAGGGGTAAAATCAGATTTTTACTCCAGGCAGGTGTTATGTTTGTGAAAAGTGATGAAATTTGTTATACATTCAAATGCAAATTAGAACTAGCTGCCTTATGATGAGATTTTACTGTCATTTCTTAGCACCCTAATTTTTGTGGGCTCTGTACAGAAACTTTTATCTATTCCCTTCAGAAAATTAAGAAGCAGATATTTTAATATGCTTTATGTAAATAGGATCACCATCATTTTAGCTTTAGTTAATGCAACACACTTCCCTGGACACAACCATGACCTCTCTGAGAACTGGAAAATACTGCATAATTTAAAAAGTCAGAGAGTAATGACATTCCCTGACAACTTCAAGTAAGTTATGTGAGGAGGATGAACTATGGGCAGTCTAGACCACCAGTCATATTTGTCTAGTCATAAAAATGGTGACAACTTAAAAAGGTCTGCAAAGATCAGAGGAACAGAGTTGGCTGAAGTTGCAGCATTCTATACGTGTCCTCATGGAGCTTCAGAAAGGGATAAGATGACCCACTTATTCTGGTTGGCTGTGGCCATAGGCAGACACCATAAATCCTGGGATGTGGTTAAGTACTGAACCAGGGGCACGTCTGAGCTTGCTTATGACACTCCAACTAGCCCCAGAACAGATAGTGAAGAACTACACAGAATCCCACAGCTAGCTCGCTCTTCTTCCTCTTTTTCTTTAACCTTTGAGAAACATCCATGAGATTAATACAACAATATTAATCAAATCTGATACAGCTGAGTGCTGGCTCACAGCTAACTATCTGGATATGCTCGATATGGGGTTTTGTTGGCCCTTAGCTGACTGTTTGCATTATTTAATCATATATTAAGAAAGGTATAATTCACATGCAACCCTTGGCAAAAAAAAAAAAAAAAGTTAATTTCTTATAACCATCACAAACTGTTAACCTGTTAAGAAAAGCCCAATTGTTTCTGCATTTGAGGTTGTACACACACATCATCTCTGTTTCTTTATAAACTGGAGGGTGAAAGGGGGAGGGTGACAAATGAGAGGAAGGCATGAACTAAACACCCAGCAGGCCGCATTCCTCATTCTCTGTGCGGCTGGCAGCATTAGTCAGAAGTCACTCCTCTGCTGTGATGGTCGTGACATATTTGAACTTGTAGATCTTTAAGGATTTCCTTGTTTATTCTGCCAGGTCTGTGGTAGGTGCTTGTTTGTTTTCTTGGTGGAATGATTCATCAATGCTTCCTGAGAGGCTCAAACAGGATCACTGGCCAGATTCCAAAAAGAAACTGTTTGGGAACAAATTAGGACAGAATGAGAAAATATAAAATTGTTCCATGTTATCCCTGAAAAAGAATGAGAAAGAATCCATGGGGCTATGACTATACATAGGTTTGCTAGTGACTGTCCTGGTATTAGTAGCCTCGGCAGAGTATATTCCTTCTAGATCTGTACCAGATATCAGAGAGTATTTTTTATTGAGTTTATTTAAATCTATTATGCATTGACTTGTCAAGCATGAAGCTGGGCATATAAATTATCTCTGATCTTTAAAACACTCTGCAATGTAGTTACTAGCAGCTCAATTTTATTGTCAAAGAAGCTAAGGCTTAAAGAGAAGGTCCTTGTCTAAGAACATGCAGCAGTAAATGAAAGATTCAATGCCTTTGGTTCCAAAGCTTGTGCTTGCTCCACTACCTCTCCACACTCCCCTTTCTTCTCCCACCTCCATCCTATACCCAGTATCCTACCCCCAACACACACACAGAGGACCTAAAAGTGGACTTACCTTCACTTTTGGCCTATATCTCAGGTAAAGTGTTCTTGTATACAAACTGAAAGAAAAGTGGGAGGGGGAAAGCTCTTCAGACTGATTTTTAATTGATGCAAACTGGCTTACTGAAAAACTTAACCATAGTGCTTCTGCATGTACAAAGAAAAAACAACATAAGTATATGCCTCATTTGTTCAACTGTTTTTTTGAGCACCTACTCTGCAAAACTCTTTGCAAGATGCTATGGAACACAGAGAAATACTTAAACTCACAGACTGGGACCTCAAGATGTGTGTAGTTTGGTAGTGAGCATTCTACTAATGCTTGATATGATTCATATCAAAATTAGATATTCCATCTTTAAAGATACATGGTAGTAAGGATTATAGTATTCTTAGAATATTCTGAAATGGGTAAATCAGCTCCATAAGGATTAAATACAGGTATGAGGAAACCAGGAAGATCACAGAAAGTGATAAGAGAAAGTCTCCTATAGTATCCTTTAAAGTGAATCACATCTGGACATGAAATCAAATTCTAAAATCAGTGCACATAGCAGAGTATAGTTGAATTTATTACTGAAAAATTCATTAAACTGTCCATAACATACAGGAAAAATAGTTTTATTATACTATTTACATGTATCTGCATAGTAAAATACACTGTGATTACATATGCAAAACATAATTTTATAGTACAGGTTGAGCATCCCTAACCTGAAAAGCTGAAGTCCAAAATTTGAAACTTTTTGTGTGTGTGTGTGACAGTCTCGCCTTGTCCAGGCTGGAATGCAGTGGTGTGATCTCAGCCCACTGCAACCTCTGCCTCCCATGTTCAAGCTATTCTCCTGCCTCAGCCTCCCGAGTAGCTGGGACTACCGGTGCCCACCGCCACACCCGGCTAATTTTTGTGTTTTTAGTAGAGACGGGGTTTCACCATATTGGCCAATCTGAAACTTTTTGAATACTGACATGATGCTAGAAGTGGAAATTCCACACCTGGCCGCATATGCAATCAAAATACTTATTGAAGGACAAGAGCAGTGTGCATTCATAACAGAACAAGAAGTCGTGTCATTTATACAACCCATGAGAGATGGCTAGGACAAAAACTGTTACTTTTTTTTTTTAGACAGATTCTCACTCTGTTGCCCAGGCTGGAGTGCAGTGGTGCAATCTTGGCTTGTTGCAACCTCCCCATCCTGGGATCAAGTGCCTCAGCCTCCTGAGTAGTGGGATTACAGGCACCTGCCACCATGCCTGGATAATTTTTTGTATTGTTTTTCTGAGAAGGAATCTCACTCTGTTGCCAGGCTGGAGTGCAGTGGCATGATATCAGCTCACTGTAACCTCCACCTCCTAGGTTCAAGCAATTCTCCTACCTCAGCCTCCTGAGTAGCTGGGACTACAGACACGCACCACCACGTCCAGGTAATTTTTTTTTTTTTTTTGGTATTTTATTAGAGATGGGGTTTCACCATGTTGGCCAGGATGGTCTTGATCTCCCGACCTCGTGATCCACCAGCCTCAGCCTCCCAAAGTGTTGGGATTACAGGTGTGAGCCACTGTGCCCAGCCCAAAAACTGTTTTTAGTGAGACAGATGACTGGAGGAAACATTTTAAAGAGTCACCAAGCAGAATGCCTCCTTTTCCCTACAGGAGCTACTTCCTAGCCGCTCGACTGCTTCTGATGTTTCAGAACATAGCACTGTAGGTGGAGACTGAACCTACAGCCCTTGTTGGCTGCTGCTGTTGTCTGATAGCTGATGGAGGTGTTCTGTGATGCTTCTGTGCTGCTTGGTCACCCTGACCACATTATTTTGTCACTGTAAAAATGGTTTGTCATATTTTCTGCTGTTATGTACTTATGTAAGAAAAAGTGTAATTATGAAAATAATTGCTTATCAGTAGCATATAAGTTCAGTCAGGTATGGTGGTGATGCCAAACAACCACAGATTGTCCACATGGGTGGCTGAGATAGCGACACCTTTGCTTTCTGATGTTTCACTGTACACTAACTTTGTTTCATGTACAAGACTATTTTAAAATATTGTATGAAATTAGCCTCAGGCTATATGCATAAGGTGTGTATCAAACATAAAAGAAAGTCATAATTAGATTTGGGTTCCATACCCAAGGTATCTCATTATGTATAGCAAATATTCAAAAACAAAAACAAAATCCCCCAAACCTGAAACACATCTGGTCCCAAGAGCTTTAGATAAGGGACACTCAATCTGTGTTTTAAACAAGGGAAAGGAAAGGGGAAAGAGCATGAGAGATGAATTTGTACAATTTAGTGTGGCTATAATGCCACTTTACTGTACTCCAAACTGCAACTATAAAAAGGAGCATCAAATATTATTTTAGTAAGAATAATCTATTGTTTCAAAATCCAACCTTCCTGTAACAGTTTTTCACATTAATCCCAAAATATAGTTGCCATCTTCCTCCTCCTCTTCAGGAAGAGTCCTGAACAAGGGCAGAGAAGCCCTGGATTGAGTCCTTGCTGTCACCTCTTACTCACAACTTTTGAAGTACTTATAAGGTGGGGAGAGGCACTGGACCAAGAGCTCTACATAATTTCATTCTTAAACTACTCTAACTAGGTGGGCCTTATTCCGATTTTGCACATGAGAAATGGTCTCAGAAAGGTCAAATATTTCATTCAAAGGACGACAGCTAGTAAATAATAGAAGCAGCATTTGAATTGAAGTTCTGTCTAATCTTTTGCCAATATATTATACTTTATCTGGTTAGTGACCTGGACAAGTCACTTCTCTGTGGGCCCCAGCTTTCTTTACCATCAGATGAAGAAATTATGTTAGATGATTTCTAAGGTCTCCCAGATTGGTTTGGACAGACAGAAAACTCTGGGCTCAAATCCTGGCGATAACACTAATTGGTCATGAGCTCATGTACAAAGTATGTGACTTCTCTGAGCTTGTCTTTCCCTAAGCATAAAATAACACTGGCCTCATGAGGGTTAAAAGAGGTAATATATATAAGGTGCCTAGTCCAGATGTGGCTATGAGCTTAAAATCCAACTTTTTATTATGGAGATTTTCAAACATAAACAGAAGTACCCATCACATAAAGTTCAAAGTATCTCATCTTTCTCATATTTTTCTTCTCTTTCTCAGCATCTTTGGAGTTTCCTTTTATATTCCTGATACTGGTTATTTATACTTTTTCCTCTTTTCTTCTTGCTTAGTTGCACCAGATGTGCCAGTTATTAAGTTATTGTATCTCAGTTCCAAATTCACACTCTTTAAAAAAACAGCTTTATTGAGGCATAATTGATATACAGAAAAGTGACGCATATTTAATGTATACAATTTCATGAGTTTGGACATATGAATACACTCATGACACTATCACCACAATCAAGGTAATAAGCATATCCACCATCTCCAAGTTTCCTCCTGCTTCCTCTATTTTTGTGGTAAGAACACTTAATGTGAGATCTACCCTCTTAAAATCTTTTAAGTACACAATACCATATTGTTACCTGTAGGCGCTAAGCAGATCTCTAAAACTTATCATCTTGCATAACTGAAACTTTATACTAATTGAACAACAATTTTCCCCTCTTCCCAGCCTGTGGTAGCCAGCATTCTGCTCTCTACTTCTATGAGTCTGACTGTATTAGAGTCCACAGATAAGTGGAATCAGACAGTATTTGTCCTTCTGTGACTGGCTAATTTCATTTAGCATAATCTCTTCAGGGTTCATCTATGTTGTTACAGATAGCAGGATTTCCTTGTTTTTAAGGCTTAGTAATATTTCACTGTCTGTTTATCCCACATTTTCTTTATCCATTCATCTGTCAAGGAATTTCTAAGTTGTTTCCACCTCTTGGCTATTGTGAATAATGCTGCAATGGAACATAGGAAAGTGGATACCTCCTTGAGATCCTGATTTCAATTATTTTGGATATATTCACAGAAGTGGCATTGGTGGATCATATTGTAGTTTTAATTTTTTGAGAAATCACTGTTTTCCATAGTGACTGCAGCATTTTACGTTCCCACCAAAAGTGCACAAGGGTTCCAATTTCTCCACATCTTCATCAACACTTGTTATCTTTTATTTTGATTACAGTAGCCATCATGAGTGATATCTCATTGTAGTTTTAATTTGCATTTCCTTGATGATTAGTGATGTTGGCCATATACCTGTTGGCCATTTCTGTGTCTTCTTTAGAGAAATGTCTATTCATAAAGTCATTTGCCTATTTTTAATTGGTTATTATTATTTGCTCTTAAGTTGTAGGAATTCCTTATATATTTTGGATATTAACCCCTTATTAGAATATATGCTTTGCAATTACCTTCTCACATTCCAGAGGTTGCCTTTTCCTGATATTTCTTTTGTTCCTCTTGTCTATTTTTGGTTTTGTTTCCTGTATTTTTAGTGTCATATCCAAGAAGTCATCACCAGGACCAAAGTTAAGCAGATTTCCCCTTATGTTTTCTTTCAGAAGTTTTACAGTTTCAGGTCTAACATTTAAGTCATTGATCCATTTTGAGTTGATTTTTGTATATAGTGTAAAGTAAGAGTCCGATTTCATTCTTTTGTATATAGATATCCAGTTTTCCCAATACCATTTGTTGAAAAGACTGTCATTTCCCCATTGTGCATTCTTGGCACCTGTGTAGAAGATCAGTTGAGAATACACATGTGGATTTCTGGGTTCTGTTCTGTTTCATTTGTCTGTATGTGTGTCTTTATGCCAGTACCACAGTGTTTTTATTACTTTAGCTTGGTAATAAAGGCATACCTTGGCGATACTGCAGGTTTGGCTCTAAATTTTAAAATAAGGAATATCACCATAATATTAGTGATATTAGTAATATTTCACTGTCTGTTTATCCCACATTTTCTTTATCCACATGAGTACTTTGGTTTCCCAGTGCTTAGAAAAGTTATGTTTACAGTATACTGTAGGCTATTAAGTGTGCAAAAAATGCTAATGTCATCTAAGCCTTTAGCTAGAATCTTTTTGCTGATGGAGGGTCTTGACTTGATATTGACGGCTACTGACTGGTAAGGATGGTGGTTGCTGAAGATGGGAGTGGCTGTACCAATTTCTTAAAATAATATAACAATGAAGTTGGCTGTATCAATTGACTCTTCCTTTCACAAAATAATTCTTATAGCATGTGGTGCTGTTTGATAGCATTTTACCCACAGAACTTCTTTCAAAAGTGGAGTCACCTGTCAGTCCTCTTAAATTCCACCACTGCTTTATAACTAATTTGATGCAATATTTTAAATCCTTTGTTGTCATTTTAACAATGTCCACAGTATAGGACATTGAGTAGAGTCCATCTCAAAAGGCCACTTTCTTTGTTTATCCATAAGAAGCAAGTCCTTATCCATTAAAGTTCTATCATGAAATAGTAGCAATTCAGTCATATCTTCAGGTTCTACTTCTAATCCAAGTTCTCTTGCTATTTCTACCACATGTATAATTACTTCCTTCACTTAAATCTTGAAGCCCTCAAAGCCATCCATGAGGGTTGGAATCAACCTCTTCCAAACCCCTATTAATGTCAGTATCTTGCTGTCCCATGAATCATGAATGTTTTTAGTAGCATCTAGAATGGTAAATCCTTTCTAGAAGGTTTTCGGTTTACTGCTCAGATCCATCAGGGGAATCACTATCGCTGGCAGCTATGGACTTATGCAATGTATTTCTTTTTTCTTTTTCTTATTTTTTTTTGAGACAGAGTCTCGCTCTGTTGCAAGGCTGGAGTGCAATAGCACAATCTCAGCTCACTGCAATCTCTGCCTTCTGGGTTCAAGTGATTCTCCTGCCTCAGCTTCCCAAGTAGCTGGGATTACAGGCATGTGCCACCATAGCCAGCTAATTTTTGTATTTTTAGTAAAGACAGGATTTCACCATGTTGGCTTTGATCTCCTCACCCTCGTCATCCACCAACCTCAGCCTCCCAAAGTGCTGGGATTATAGGTGTGAACCACCATACCTGGCCGAAATATATTTCTTAAGTAATAAGAGTTAAAAGTCAAAATTACTCCGTGATCTATGGGCTGCAGAATGGAGGTTGTGTAATCAGGCATGAAAACAACATTAATCTTGTACATCTCCATTGGAGCTCTTGGGTGACCGGGTACATTGCCAATGAGTGGTAATATTTTGAAGGGAAATCTTTCTTTCTGAGCAGTATGTCTCAATAGTGGGGTCAAAATATTCAGTAAACCATGCTGTAAATGGAAGGACTGTAATCTAGGCTTTGTTGTCCATTTTATAGAGCAGGTAGAATACCTTTAGCATAATTCTTAAGGGCCATAGGACTTTCAAAATAGAAAATGAGCACTCATTTCAACTTAAGGTCATCAGTTGCATTAGCTCCAAACAAGAGAGTCACAGCCTGTACTCTGAAGCTCTGAAGCCAAGGATTGACTTCTCCTCTCTAGCTGTGAAAATCCTAGATGCCATCTTCTTCCAATAGAAGGCTGTTTCATTTACATTGAAAGTCTGTGGTTTAGTGTAACCACTTTCATCAATAATCTTAGCTAGAACTTCTGGATAACTTGCTGCAGCTTCACTGTGCACTTTTATGTTATAGAGATGGCTTCTTTCTTTAAATCTCATGAACCAACCTCAGCTAGCTTCAAACTTTTCTTCTGCAACTTCCTCACTTCTCTCAGCCTTCACAGAATTGAAGTGAGTTGGGGCCTTGATCTGGATTAGGCTTTGTCTTAAGGCAATGTTGTGGCTGGTCTGATCTTTTATCCAGACTACTAGAAATCTCCATATATTAGAAATAAGGCCGTATCACTTTTTTATCATTCGTGTGTTCTCTGGAGTAGCACTTTTAATTTCTTTCAAGAACTTTTCCTTTGCCTTTACAACTTGGCCAACTGTTTGGCACAAGAGGCCTACCTTTTGGCCTATCTCAGTTTTCAACATACCTTCCTCACTAAGCTTAATCATTTCTAGCTTTTGATTTAAAGTGAGAGATATGCCACTCTTCCTTTCACTCAAACCCTTAGAGGCCATTGTAGGGTTTTTAATTGGCCTAATTTCAATTTTGTTTCCTCTTAGGGAATAGGGAGGCTGGAGGAGAAGGAGAGACTGGGGAATGACCAGTTGGTGGAGCAGTCAGAACATTCAGCATTTACTAAGTCCACTGTCTTATATGAGTATGCTTTGTGGTACCCTAAAACAATTATAATAGTAACAGCAAAGATCACTGATCACAGGCCAGGCATGGTGGCTATAATCCCAGCACTTTGGGAGGCTGAGGTGGGAGGATCACTTGAGGTTAGGAGTTTGAGACCAGCCTGGCCAATATGGTGAAAGCCCATCTCTACTTAAAGCACAAAAATTAGCCAGGTGTGGTGGTGCATGCCTGTAATCCCAGCTACTTGGGAGGCTGAGGCAGCAGAATCACTTGAACCCAGGAGGTGGAGGTTGCAGTGAGCTGTGATCATGCCACTGCACTCCAGTTTGGGGGAGACTCTGTATTGGGGGAAAAAAAAAGATCACTGATCACAGATCCACCATTAACAGTTATAATATTGTCAGAATTATAAAAATAAGACACAGAGACATGAAGGAAGCACATGCTGTTGGAAAAATGTCACCCATAAACTTGCTTGATGCAGGGTTGCCACAAACTTTGAACATGTAAAAAACACAATACCTAAAATGTGCAAAAAAGTTATGCATGCTTGTTTATTTTGAAATCAAGAAGTGAGATGTTTCATGTCTGTTCTTTTTCAAGATTGATTTGGCTACCTGTGGTCTTTTGTGATTCCATATGAATGTTAGAATTGTTTTTTCTATTTCTGTAAAAAATGCCTTTGGAATTCTAAATGAGATTGCATTGGATCTGTAAATGGCTTTGGATAGTATGAACATTTTAACAACTCTGTCTTTTAGTCCATCAACACAAAATGTCTTTTCATTTGTTTGTGTCTTGCTTAACTTTGTATGAATGTTTTGACCTAGTTAGAATCTTTTCTTTTTCTTCACAACTCAGTCTTGGTAGGTTTCTAGGATATTGTCCATTTCTTCTAAGTCATCCAATTTGTTGGCATATAATTGCGTGATTCTTCTTATGTCTGTGGCATCATGGTAATGTCTCTTCTTTTATTTCTCATTTTATTTATTTGAGACTTCTTTTTCTTTTTTTGTTAGTCTAGCTAAGGTTTGCCAATTCTGGTGATCTCTCAATATCCCAACTCTTAGTTTCATAGATATTTAAACATTTTTCTATGTTGTTTATTTCTGCTCTGTTATTTCTTTCCTTCTGCCAAATGCGGGCTTAATTTGTTCTTCTTAGTTTCCTACTTCTTTGAGGTTTAAAGTCTTGTTGAGCTCTCTCTTCCTTTTAAATGTGGCATTAATTTCTATGAGCTTCTCTTAGTACTGCTTTTGCTGCATCCCAAAAGTTTTGGTATGTTGTATTTTTGTTTTCACATGTCTCAAGGTATTTTCTAATTTTCTTTTGATTTCTTCTTTGACCAATGGTTGTTCAAGACTGTACTACTTAATTTTCATGTTTGTGAATTTTCTAGTGTTTAAAAAATATTTACATCATCCTATTTAAAGAGTAAAGAAAAAAAAAAAAAAACTCTAGTACTAAGCTAAAGAAGTCTCTATTTCCTACCTGAAAAGGATGTGAAGATAGGAACCAAGGCCAGTTAAAATATGCCACCATGCATGAAATTGTGTGGTAATACCTATGATAGGTGGTACCTTCTTTCGAAAGTCCCTGTGTGGAAAGGGGGAGAAAATCACCATGTTAAATTTTAAAAATATTTAGTAACTAATGCTGATAGTCTTAGAATATTTTGAAATGTCATTCTCAAATACAGCAGTTATTTAATTGCCTTAGGTTTCCTGTAGTCTGCCACATTGTTATCCAAACTACATTCTGAGGAACAGTGTTCAACAATGATAATTTATGGTTAATCTGTGTCATCTAAACCCTCATCCACTTCTCTCTCTCATATCTTTTTGAAGCAAATCCCAGATACTATATCATTTTATTTCTAATTATTTTAGTATGTATTTCTAAAATATGAAAACCTCCCTAAAACATAACATTTTCATACCTAAAAATAATAATCTGTTAATATAATAAAAAATATTCAGTTACTGATCAAAGTTCAAAATTTCTCATACTTTTTTTTTAAACAGTTGGCTTGTTTGAATCAGAATCCAAAAAAGGCCAACACATTGCATCTGGTTGATATATCTAAGTCTCTTAATCTATATGTTCCTCCTCCCTCTTTTTTCTTTCCTGCTTCTGCTTTTTTTTTTTTTTTTTTTTTTTTTTTTTGAGACAGAGTCTTGCTCTGTCATCCAGGCTGGAGTGCAGCAGCATGATCTTGGCTCACTGCAACCTCCACCACCCCGGTTCAAACAATTCTTCTGCCTCAGCCTCCCAAGTAGCTGGGATTACAGGGACACACCACTATGCTCAGCTAATTTTTGTATTTTTAGTAGAGACAAGGTTTCACCATGTTGGCCAGGCTGGTCTTGAAATCCTGACCTCAAGTGATCTACCCCACTCGGCCTCCCAAAGTGCTGTGATTACTGGCGTGAGCCACCATGCCTGGCCATGCCTCTGTAATTTATCTGTTGAAGAGATCAGGTCATTCATTCTTTAAATGTCTTATAGTCTGAATTTTGTTGATTGCCTTCCTGTGGAACTGTTCAGTACATTCCTCTGTCCTCTGTTTACGCAAAATTGTTAGTTTACAGGATTTAGAGTTGGAATGATCCACTAGTTTAACCTATTCAGTATGCTCATTTCATGAAAAATGAGGGCCAGAAGGACAGTGCCTAATGACAGACTAGAATCCAGAGACCTAAGTCTAAGATTCAAACTTCCATCAATATATGATTGCTGACAAGATGGTAAAAGGAACACTTGCTTTCTTAGAAAATAACATTAAGCATATGAAAATATATATTTACATAAATATATTTCATATGCTTATTGCAAATCAGCCTTCTTTATTCAATGAAGCAGATCAGACAAGTTTCAAAGGAACAGTCAACATTTGACTAACTACATAGTGCTATGATGCACACACACATAAAACCCAAACCCTACAGAGGTTATGAAATATCCTCAGGTCCAAAATTTTAGGTAATTTAAACAGGTATTCCAAGAATTCAACTTCATTTTACTGTACATATCTTTTAAATGTCAACAACAGTAAAAATTCATTTCAGGGCACTTCTATTTCTACACGTTTATAAAATTCTCTACTTAATAAAATGCTTCCAAAAATATTTCTGAAGCAATGAAAATATATCTTACCTCAGTGAATCACAAAATATGTTATCTATATTCCACAACAAAAATCCCAATAAAAATATACCCAAGGATGTGTAACCCAGTCCTCTTAGCCATGGATAAACCCTGTGGAGGGAAAAAAGAAAAGCAAAATAAAATTTTCTCAAGCCATGTCATAATTAGAAATTGAAGCCATCGCTTTGTCCCTTTTTTATAAGGGCTGGGATCTCACTGTGTTGCCTAGACTGGAGTGCAGTGGCTATTCACAGGTGTGATCATAGTACACTCTAGCCTCGAATTCCTGTGCTAAAGTGATCCTCCCATCTCAGTCTCCCGAATAGCTGGGAGTATAGACATGTGCTACCACGTCTGGCTAGAAGACATCACTTTGATGAGAAGGAAAAGTTTTTGTTTGTAGTAAATGCAGACCTGGCCTATCAAATTTTCTAATAATTTGCCTACTATATGTAGCCATTAAAAGGAGCTGAGAAATAGGCCACCAAGACTTTAATACATGTATTGGGAAGGTAATCTGAAAGTACCTGACAACTTTTTCAGTCTCATGGAATAGGCAGGGGGATAGTGGATTAGAATTAATGTAAATTGAGTCATATGCTCCATGTAAGCCAATGTAACACACACACACACACACTCACTCACTCTTATTCAATAAATCACTTAATAATGTATATGGAGTGCCTGTTATGTACCAGGCATTGTTCTAAGCATTTCGAAAGGTAGGTCAATAGATAAAGTTTTTGTTCTCAAAGAATTTATAGTATAGTTGGGGGAGGTAAACAATTAAATACATAACTAATTATAATTGCTTTGAAGAAAAATAAGGCCTGATAAGGAGAGAGTATATGGAGGTATTATGTGGATGGGTGTGCATGTACACACACCACACACAAAATGTTCAAATAATCCCTGTGAGGTAGGTATTATTCTTTTAACTTTACTGATGAGGAAATTAAAGCTTGGTGAGATACTGAAAATAGTATCAGCTTACCTGTGTTTTATAGCTTCAATGAGGTATAACAGACATACATTAAAAGTATATATATTTGAAAGTGTCTATCTGATCAGTACATCTGTATATACCCAGGAAACTACCACCACAGTCAAGATATCTACCACTTCCAAAACATCAATTTGCATTTTTTAGAATGCTACATAAATGGAATCATACCATATATACCCCTGATTGTATGGCTTCTTTCATTTGACATAATTCTTTGAGATTCATTCATGTTATTATGTTATCAATACTTCATTTCCTTTTATTGCTGAGTAGGTACTCCATTGTATGGTCACAGCACAATTTATTTCTCTGTCCAAATGCAGGTTTCTAGTTTTGACTATTACAAATAAAGCAGCTATGAACATTCACAAAGAACACTTTGTATAGACATATGCTTTCATTTTTCTTGGGTAAACAGCTAGAAGAATGGCTGGGTTGTATGGCAGGTGAATATTTAATTTTTCAAGATACTGCTACACTGTTTTCCTAAGTGACTACCATTTTACATTCCCATTAGGCATGTATAAGTGTTCCAGATGTTTCACATCTTCATCAGCACTTGGTTTGAAGTCAGTCTTTTTCATTTTAGCTGTTTTAGTAGGTGTGTAGTGGTATTCATTGTGGTTTTAATTTGCATTTCCCTGATGACTAATGACTAATGTTTCTGAGCATCTTTTCATGTAGTTATTTACTATCCATACCTCTTCTTTGATACATTGTTGTTTCCCTTCTTATTATTCAGTTTTAAGAATTCTTTCTATATTTTACACGTAGATCCTTTGTTGGGTATATATTTTGCCAGTAGTTTCTCCAAGTCTGTGGCTTACCTTTCATTTTCTGAATACTATCTTTTGAAGAACAAAAGTTTGAAATTTTGATGAAGTTCAGTTTGTCAATTTTTTGTCTATATTTTGTGCTTTTTACTAATAAATCTTTGCCGAACTAAAAATATCTCCTATATTTTGTTTTAGAAGTTTTACAATCTTAGTTTTTACATTTAGAGATATAATTTACATTGAGAAACAGAATTCACTTCTATTGAATTTTTATGTTGGTGTGAGGTTGAAGTTCATTTTTATTTTGGTCTAAGAATATTCATTTATTCCAGCACAATTTGTTGAAAAGATTATCTTTTTTCCACTGAATTACCTTGACATATTTATTGAAAATCAGGCCAGTATAAGGGTGTGGGTCAATTTTTGGATGTTCTATTGACTTATATGTCATTCTTACCACCAATGCAACATTGTCTTGGTAGCAGCATATAAATCAAGTCTTGTAAGTAATGCAACTTTGTTCATTTTCAAAAACTGTTTTGGCTATTCACAATCTTTTGCATCACCATGTTAATATCAGAATCAGTTTTTCCATTTTTACCAAAAAGCCTGCAGAACCTACAAATCAGTTTTGGAGTACAGGCTTCTTAACAATATTGAATTTTCTAATCCATTAAGTAGTATATCTGTCCATTTATCTAGCTCTTCAATTTCTCTCAACAACAAAAACCAAATTGTAGTTTTCAATGTATGGATCTTACATATTTTGTTAAATTTAATCCTTAAACATTTAATGTATTTTAATGTTATTGTAAATTGTACTTTATAAAATTTTACTAATAGTTCACTGCTAGAACACAGAAATATGATTTTGAATACTGACTAGAATCCTGAAACTGCTAAATTTCACTTATTGCTTCTAACATTTTTTTTGTACATGTCCTGTGATCTTTTCTTTACATGATCATGTAATTTGCAAGTAAAATGTTAGGTAATAGAAGTAATTATAGTATATATCCTAGTTTTATTCTCGATTTTTAAAGGGATTAAAAAAACCTCACGAGGTCAAGAGATCGAGACCATCCTGGTCAACATGGTGAAACCCCGTCTCTACTAAAAATACAAAAACATTAGCTGGGCATGGTGGCGCGTGCCTGTAATCCCAGCTACTGAGGAGGCTGAGGCAGGAGAATTGCCTGAACCCAGGAGGCGGAGGTTGCGGTGAGCTGAGATCGCGCCATTGCACTCCAGCCTGGGTAACAAGAGTGAAACTCCGTCTCAAAAAAAAAAAAAAAAAAAAAAAAAAAAAACCATGTCATGACTAGTGTTTTATATGCTATAGAATTTATAGGTTAAGAAAGTTCTCTTCTATTACTAGTTTGTAAAGGGTTTTGTTTTTTTATAACATAAATAGGTATTGAATTTTACAGAAAGCTTTAGTCTAAATCTTGGTATCATGTAATTTTTAATTTTTAATTTTAATTTTCTAAAGACTGGTCTGCCTCTGTCCTTTATTTTTAAAATGTGGTAAATGGCAATAATAAATTTTTTCAAAATTTTCTAACTTAACTGTAGGTATTTGCATGTAAGTGAATGTAAAAGGTGATTAGTTTAAAAATGATCAGGAAAGCACAAACCTGGCAATGTATGGAAAAGGCATCATCACCACTGATGAAGGTTCTTAAGAGAAGATGAGCTTAAAAGAGTCACAGTCTGGCTTCAGCTTTTCAGAGGGTTTATCATAGCCCCCATTTGGGGAAGGCAAGAATGAGTCCCAAGAAACATAGGCCTCAACACAGTGAAGGCTTCTAGCAGTGCAGCCTAGGTATTAAAATATGACAGGAATATGACCATTTGGGGTAGAGTGCTGTCTGTTTTCTGCTTCTAAACTTACTTACCATGGCCAATCTTCAGCTCACAGGAGCAGTTCAAAGCAAAATTATTCTGTGGGGGTGAAATGAATGTCTTTGGTTATCCAGGTAGCAGGGCACGAAGGAGAGAGCAAGAATATCAGCATGTGGTGCATGCAAGGCTAAGCACAGACAAGATTCTGGAGACTTACTACCCATATAGTATCAGGTGTAAGAGTATAGAATACAGAAGACATTCAACATATGTCTCTCTGTATCTCTCTCTCTCTCTATCACACTGATTTGTTCTAGACTGGCTGCCTGTCTAGCATACAGCTATCATCTGAGAAATCCCTTTCTGTCACCTACACCTTAGGAGCTGCCTTCACCTCTCTCTTTCATTGGATCTCCTGTCTTGTATCCCATGCACTCCTCCTTTTTGAAGTACACTCATTTTGGTACAACACATGTTTCAGTAGGTTCTTGAGCAATATTTAATGGGATATAGGTTTTTTTTTTGAGATCTCGAATGTAAGAAAAAAATATTTTTCTCTGTATTTTACTGATAGTTTGGCTACCTGTAGAATTCTAGGTTAGAAAAATTTTCCTTTAGAAATTTGAAGGCACTGGTCTCCTAGTTCCAATGTTGCTTTGGCAAACCCAAAGCCATTCTGATTCCTGATCCTTTGTATATATTCCTGCCTCTCAACTTACATACTTCTGGAATCCTTCCTTTTTCTAGGACTCTGAAACTGGCATGGGTCTATTTCCACTCATTGTGCTGCATATCCAGTGGACTCTTTCAGTCTAATAATGCATGCCGATCAATTATAGAATGTTTTCTTGAATTATTTTGGTAATTGCCTCCCTTCCATTTTCTCTGATCTCTGCCTCTGTCTCCTTTTTTACATTGGTTCTTCTATATTGGCTCAACATTATCTATTCAGTAATATTCTTACTGAGTCTATTATATTTTCCATTTCTTTTTCTCTTTTTTTTTTTTTGCCCTATACCAAGAGTGACTGACTTAACTGTATCTTTTAAACACTTCAATTCAGCTTTTCTTTTTATAATATTTTTTATTTTTAAAAAAATTAGAAAGTCTTCCTTTGTTGCCCATGCTAGAGTGTAGTGGTGTGATCATAGCTCACTGTAACTGAAAACTCCAGGGCTCAAGTAATCCTCTCGCCTCAACCTCTTGAGTAGTTAGGACTACAAGAGTGTGCCACCATGCCAAACTAATTATTATTATTTTTGGTAGAGACAGGGTCTCACAATGTTGTCTGCTGGGTCAAACTCCTGGCCTCAAATGATCCTCCCACCTTGGCCTCCCAAAGTGCTGGAATTACAGGTGTGAACTACTATACTTGGCTCATGTTTTTAATTTTTAACATTTTAAAAATTATCTGAATGTTCGTTTTGAAAAATACCATCCTATTTTTGACTTATAGGCACAGTATACCTTTAGGAATATTAATA